AGGGAAAACCAAAGTGATAGAAAAAAACAATTCATGTGGAATGACCTATGCACTAGTTTAAATAGTATAGAATTCTATTACGTTTAAAATGTGGTATTTTCTGAAGGATCCACCTAATTTAAAACTTAGTGAAAAATCTAATTTGGTATGTACTTGCCTACATCTAGATAACACTGGGAACGATTTTCAGAGGAGTGTCCAATGACTCCAGCTGGAATTCTGGGTAAGGCTATGATTGTCATAGAGGTCACAGAATCCATGACTTCCAAAGACCCCCGTGACATTTTCTGCTCAGTCTCACAGCTGTAGGTGCCAGAGCTCTGTTGCAGAAGCACCACAGCTTCTAGCTGTGGCAGCCCCCTCCCCCCTGCTCCCAGCCCACACAAGTGATGGGTAGGCTCTCCAGCAGCTTGGAATTCCAAACACTGGAGGTCCAAAGTGCCACAGGTGACTCCTGGAGCTCCCAGCCATTGAGGGCACCAGATGACCTGGGAGCTCTGAGCTGTTTCAGCCAGTAGGTGGCCTCCAGAGCTCTTCGGGCAGCAGGTGGCCCTGGAAGCTCAGCAGACAGAGAGGGGCCCTGGAGTTCTGAGCCACTGTGGGTAGTGGGGACCTCCCAGAGCACCCAGCCACATGGGTGGCAGGTGGCCTTTGGAGCTCTGCAGACCCGTGCACTCACAGCTACTCATAGGTGACAATGGACCCCACAACCCCAAGGGCAGTAGGTGATCCCAGTAGTTCTCAGCAGCCAGTCCCACTGCTCTGAGCCTCTGTGGGCAGTGGGGGCCTGTAGCTCCTAGCCTCTGTGAGTGCAGCAGGTGGGTAGTGGATCCCTTCACTCCCTATTTTGTCAGAGTTATTTTTAGTAAAAAGTCACAACAGAACATGATGAGCTTCCATGAATTTGTGCTTATTGTCTGTGAACAGTCCATGGCTTTTTACTAAAAATTACTATGACAAAATCATAGCCTTAACTATGGGTACTCTGTATTCTTGAAAATTTCGGTTCTTCACACTTCACTGTATTAAAGTAAAAATTATTATTATTATTATTTATTATTTACTTCTTTTTTGATCTGTTTTCTATACTAGTTCAATTCTATTGTATTAAAGTATGTCAGTTATCTAAGTAAGCTAATGTGTTTTCTGTAATTAGTTCCTTATTATATGTTTGTTTAGTGGAATTGATTCCTGTGCAGAGTATCTGGCCTAAACAGCTATAAGAAATGTCAGCCATGTGTCTCAGTTGTTATGTGCCATATTGGTGTCCCAGTACAGCAAATGTGCATGGGCTTGACTTTACTTCCATCATTTACTTCTACCCATGATAGTGAAGTTAAACAAATGTATAAGTGATTGACTGCAGGATGGAGCCATGGTAAGAACCTTATTCACCATGGTACTTCAGCATGTGCATAACTTCCAGCATGAGAGTAGCCCCATGTTATGTATATTCTTAAAGAAATAGTTTGGTGAATGGGGGCCCAGATTGAAAGAGCTCTTTTTCCTGACAACAACCGTGTACTGTTATGCATGTGTATGGTGCCCAGAACAATAGAATCTCACTCTTCATTGGGCCTTCAGAGCCCTACTTCAATACATATATAATAAATTCCATTTATAATAACCATGGCCTTTTATTATTTTTATTTGCTTTTTGTTTAGACCTTGTAACTAGATGTCCTTGACCATCATGGATAGGCATTTGTTGTCATGCAGTAATTTATTGTTGTTAATGTTTAGTGCTGAGATTTGTCATCCACTTGAAATATTTATTTCTGTTCATTATGTGTTGTGATCACTAGGTCCTGATGCTGCCAATGACTTTATTTGCATTTTCAAATTACAGGACCATGGTCATTTTTTAGTGTGGGTCATTGGAAAGATGAGCAAAAAGAATCACAAAATGCTAAATCTGAAAACGTATAGACATTATGTATACAAGAATAATGGAAAAAATATTAAAAGCTGAAAAATCACTTTTGATTACTTTTTTCAAATGCAAAGAAAAAAGTAAATCTTCTGTCTGAAAATTCTTATTGTTGGACCCTAAAACTGCAATGATTGTTTTGTCTTTTTTTTTAGTTTGTTTACTTTGTACATTTGAGAACACTCTGCGTACAGTCAATTTCATTTGCCCTGTACAGTTAATTCGGCTTTATTCCCATATACTGCTGCATTGAATTCAATGGGTTTTTCCAGGCTAGGACTCCATTTGGGTGCAGGGGTCTGTGCTAGCTGATTAGGGGCTTTTAATTGTCAGCTTTTTTTGTCCTTTTTGTACCTCAATAAGGGAGAGAAAGTTATTGGTAAAAAATAGGATGTTGTACTAATGAATTTACAGAAGTTGACAAGGGTGATCATGCAACTGTGATACCTGAAATTATTTTGTAAATGTATAAATTAATTAGATGTCAAGCTAAATAAAGTCCCTTTATTATTGAAGATTTTAGCAATGCACGAACAATATTTTTATCTAACAAAATATAGGTACTGATCCTGTGCTCAGCTAGATGGGGCAGACCCCCCTCGAACTTATATCGAGTGTCCCTATTTAATGTGAAGGTCTGCTTGCATAGAACAGCTTGCAAGATCAGGATCATAATTATTGTCATGGTGGTACCCATGCTTCACCTACTTCTATAGTTATTGTGTTTTTTTCCTATGCAGGAATATTCCTATATATACAAACGTTTCTTTTTCCAGACTCCTACTACAATCTGCACAGATTTAATAGTACCTGATGGGACTTATTACTATTTGATCCTTCCCTGTAAAGAAAAGTAATGTTTAAAGATATCCCAAACCTAAAAATAGTAAACGGCTGCTGCATTTTTCTCCTTATTATTCCTTCAACGTTGGCATTAAATCAGTGGAGATGATGCACCTAAGCTGTAGCTGTTGTTTGTGGCTGTATTTTTGGTAACACTGATTATTGCTGCTCCTGCTGCTGCTTCCCGGAGGCTCAGACGCAGCGGCAGCTAGAGCGAGGGGAGGAAGAATGAGACACCCCGGCGGCAGCGGCAGCAGCAGCAGTTTCCCCTTTCCCCAGCCCTGACTCCACGGGCGCATGCTCACTTGTGCCCGCAGCCCTGGACCATATTTGTCAGGACTACTCGAGAGACGGAGAAAGAGAGAGATTGGGGGGGTAAGAAGCGGCTGGTTCTGATCTAATCTGTAACCCCTTTAGGGCGGTGCAATGCAAACGGCTGGTGATGGGTTTTAATTTTTCCCCGTAGGTGAAGATGAAAGTTAGAGAGCGCGCGAGAGATAAAGGGAGACGCACCTCCTCTCCCTTCCTTACGAAACATATCTGGGGAAGCGGAGAAGGGTGTGGGGGGTAGAAGGCTTCTTTTCCCCCTCCCCGGGCAGCAAGGGTGGAACTTAATGTAGGGGAAAGAGGGCAAGTGACTCTCAAGTGGCTGGAGAGCGGGTGGGTCACTGGCGATGTCCCTAAATAATAAGTGTGTGAATGTGAAAGAGGAACAAAAGAAAGAGCGAGAGGTGCCTTGTATTTATTTTTTTTCTTCCCAAACACACGAAGGGTGGACGACAGGGAGGAAGGAGCTGGGAAATGTATGTGTGTGTGGGGAGGGGGGAGGGATTGGAGGGAGGCGGAAAGAGAAAAACATTTTGCAGACCTGCCCCACCAATGAGCTTGTCAGTTAGCTCCATTTAATGACACTTATGGGGCGCTGCTGTGGCGCTAGGAACAATGTAACGTGGGTACAGCGGCTGGGATTTTGGAGTGGGGGTGTATATGTGCGCGGAGGGGAGGGGGCGCGAATTGGCAGGTCCCCTTGCCCACCCTGTGCTCTTTGTTCCCGACACCCCCAAGAAAGAGAGGCGTAAGGGCTGCAGGGGGGCCATGGGCAGAAGACAGGGGCTTTTTCACACCCCGATTTTCGCGTTTGAAGCGGCGAGAGGTGGCGGCTGCCGGGATATACCGGTTGAACGTGCAGCGTGTCCCTTGTGCAAAGGCCTATTCGGCGCACGGCAGAGAGTTTGCGTTTTCTTCTGCTTCTGCACTTTGTGTGAGTGGGTGAGGGATATTTAAAATATCATCTCCCAATTTCCGCCATTTTGGGGAAAGTTTGCACACACATACACGTACCAAAAAAAAAAGAAAAGAAAAAGAAGCTCCTGGCAATTTTTAAAGGAAAGGGTGGGGGTGGGGGGCACTTTG